TTCCAAATAGTCCACTCGGACTGTTTAGTACCTAAACGTTCACTCTAGTGGCAGGTATCTTGGAGGAATGCAAATTTTAAATGTAAGAAAGGATGAAAGTTTTTTAATAAAATACTCAACTTTGTAACAGCTAAACTCCTATCAGATTGGTACAACAGGTGCACATGGAAAGTGCACAGTTCTTCGCATTTAAGTGAAAAACTTCGCTTTTGAGTGAAAAACGAGGGGCTACAAGTATTTTCTGCCCTCAACACCTCCCTATCTTCTTTTTGCAGTTCCGTTCTTACTTGACAGTAGTAACTTAAAAATGGCTTTCATTAGCTTGAAAGTGTTTCAGTGTGTGAATGGAATCCTTAGTCTTTGCAGGAAGAACTAGGCCATCTAAGAGAAAATATTTCTGTAACATGTTAGACCCTTAGTCTTTGCAGGAAGAATTAGGCCATCTAAGAGAAAATATTTCTGTAACAGGGGAGTATCCTGAAAATCTACAATGAGGAGCAAGCAGGTCTCCTCATCGCCAGGAAAAGACAGGGTTTTAAAGTTGTATCACTGAGTCTAGTGCTTTCTGTGAAGACTTCTCCTGAGAACATGCCTACTTTGTAGACACTAGTAGAGATGAAAGAAGCAGATATAAGTTCTCTCAATGCTTGCAGCTTTTTTCAGACCGTATTTTTTAATGAAGCAATTCGGGCAATGCAAAGAACTGAAAAATGCTGGACTTGATAGTTAATACATCAGCTATAATGTGTACTGTGTGCATTCGTGCATAATGCTCATACTGCACAGACATATGACATTCAGTACTTAAATAAGATGATAAAGACATCCCTCACAGAATATCTAAACAGGTCTTGGCAGAAAACTGGATGGAAGTAGAAATCTTAACTTTACTCTTAAGAGTAAAGATTAAGTTTAACTTTAACAGTTATCTATGGGACATTAATATCTTGAACAGTTTCACACTCAAGGAAGGCCAGCTGAGGCAACAACCTATCCAAATCATTATACCACACTTCTCAAATCAGTAAAATGGGACACACACTTCCCAATAACTATCTTCAAGTCAACAGACAGGCAACAAAGAGGTGAGATAAAAAGAGGGGTAACTATTTTAAGAAACATGAGTAACTATTAGTAGAATCCTTTGGGTTGAAAAGGAGGAAGGAATTTAACACAACACAATTAGAGTATGAAATAAAAAAAAAACACTCTTAAGATAAGACCTTCCATGAATTTTCAACTTACGCGAAAACTGGTCTGACAGCATTATTCATATTTCCATAGGTTGCTCGTCCTAGTAGTTCCCTGAAGCAATTCTCAGCCAGCAGAGCAGGATTTTCCTCTTTCTCTCCTCTTGTAGGAGAGGATGGAGGGCCTATTCTGCTGAAATGAGACAAAAGTACATCAATTTTACTACTAATTAATATTCGGCCTCTTACTGTAGACATTCTTGGCTCTACAATGTTCATGAGTCACGCTCTTGATCTAGGCAAGAACTGTATCTCAAATATACGTCAAACCAGAATTCTGAATAAAACAATTTATTCTCTTACAGCAGGAGTGTAGATCATCTATTCACTCAGTACTGACCATTGGTATTAGTAAATATTTTTATGGCAAAAACAATGGCTGTTAATAGCGATTTACCTTGTTACCCACTGCATTTTGACAAACTGTTACCCATTGCTAACAACGAATGAAGGCCATGAAACCGCGCAAAAAGATAGGCAGAACCTTAGTCATTTTGTTCAGACTAATGATCTCATTCACCTGCCCACCACTGAATGCACACTGTGTGGGTAAGTGTTGAATAAAACTCCAATACTTCTGCAGAAACAGATGGCTTGTGAGTTGGAAAAAACTCTGACTGAACTAATTAGAACATTATCACCCACAGTTACCCCTGACTAGTCAGAGTACAAGTCAGTCACCTTCTGACTGAGTCCTCCAGTCTTAGTATAGAGAGGATTGTTTGGGGTGTCCGTGCCCCGGTGCCGGCAGAGGGGCTGCGGGGGGCTCCGCGCTGCGGCCGGGGAGAGCCCAGGGGGAGCGGGGTGTCCCTGAAGGGCTGCAGCCTGGGAAGGGCCGTGCTGGAGCGGGAAGACGGGTGAGGAGGGGGAAGCGGCCAAGAGGGGCTGTGACGGACCAACCGCAGCCCCGTCCCCATCCCTGTGCCCCTCGGAGGGAGAGGAGTTGGGAGTGAACGGGTGAAGCTGGGAATGGGGAAAAGGTAGAGAGGAAAATATGTTATTTTTTTGTCTTTGTTTCTCACTAACCAAATCTATTTTAGCTGACAGTAAGTTAAATTCATTTTCTTTAAGTCAAGTTTGTTTTGCCTGTGATGGTAACTGGTAAGTGAGCTTCCCGTCTTTACCTCAACCCAGGAACTTTTTAATCCTATTTTCTCCCCTATCCTGCCAAGGAGGTGGGGAATGAAAGAACAGGTGGATGAGAGCTTGGCTTTTAGCCAGGGCTAACGCATCACAAGGACTGAAAAGCATGATATCTATTTTATAATGTCTGCATCAGTACACACAAACCTCTTATTTTTAACCTTACTAAAATAAAACACTTTGTCAAGTTGTTTTTTGCCATGTAGTATTCTTCACCTTTCTGACACTGTTGGGCAACTGGACTGCCATATTTAACACACAGTATGTTACTAATAACTTGGACAGGAAAAAACCCCAAACACCTTTCACATTTGGAAATATATTTTTAAGATGTGGATACTGATGTTAATTTGCCCATACTATATTTATAAAGGTGTCCCTTGTTGAAGGAGGATTATTCTTTCACTAAAAGCATTACTCTGAAAAAGAAACCTGGCAACTGATTTCTTCAGTCAGAAAATAATTAAAACAAAAAAATACAGATTATCAAACTTTGCATCAAATAAATATGCCAAGAAGTGTTAAACTGCATAAGTTTTACTGAGAAACTTGTCCTTTAACAAGAAGATTACTGTTATTTCAGTCATAGAAATATACTACTGATAGTAAAGAACAATAAAAAATGATGACACGATGAGGAGAGGAAAAAAGCAATGGGTGGGGGAGAATTTAATATTACCACAGCTACTATTTCTTCAGATACTAAAATACTCCAATGAGTGTCTTAATTTAAAATAAAAATCCTTTTAAATTAAAAAGGAATTAAAATCAGCATTTAAATATCAATTTCATTTCATATGGAAATTTTAACTTATGATTTAATAAATCTTGCAGTGCAAAGCAAGGCTTTAATGTGTCATACTAATGACAGCAGCAATGAACAAACTTCTGTAAAGTTCAAATACTGTCATATGCAATTACTTCTCTTCTCTTGGTTGATTTTAAATAGCCTAATTCCCATAGTACAATACCAGAGTAAGACTATTGAATTAAAGACAGAATTCAGACACAAGCAAAACTACAGAAACCAGACTGTTCTGGACAAACTAAAACCTACTCAGGCCCATATTCCACCACTGAGCTTTGAAGGGAATCGCCTGTCCTCACCGTGGAATAACTAAAATCAGCACCCGCACTGTAAATAAGTGCAAGGTAAAGCCTTTCTAGAAGAGTTTCCAGTTTCCCAGTTCTCATTTTTGTTGCAGGCCTTGACAATGTTTCTTGATTCATTTTTTGTGTTCTGTGGTGTGGGTTTTGTTTTTTTTCCTTTGCCCAAAGTCACCTCCTTTTCAGCACAGAGACTTGAATTACTAGAGCAAATTAAAGGCATTTGAAATGTATTTCTGAATTTAAGTGCTTCACACAACATACCATTAAGCTGTTACTAATATTTCATTTAAATAGAGCAGTTGAGAGGTGGAAGACTGAGGAAGAAAGAAATAAATTAGTTCCCCTAAGGTGCAGTATCACTCATTGAGAAGTACTGTACCTATAGATGGCAAGTATTTTTGTTTGCACAAAACACATTGTAGAAACTTAAGTGAGGGTTCATTCACCTACATTAACATTATGCAACTATGCATTAGGAGATTTATTTTAGACTGCAGAAATCAGTACACTAAAACCTTAATCATATTTTCATTTCTGCAGGGCAAGCTTGTGCATTAAACGTTTAGAAGTGATCACTAAGAGCATCAGCTTTAGTTAATGCTCACTCTTCAGCATCATAAAACTGTAGCTTCACAGCATTATAAAAAGTCAAATACTGAAATGCCACTAGTTCAAATGAACACGTAACATCATAGTTGTAATATCTTCTGATAGCAAAGGATCTTCTGATGTTTCAAGACTACTGCAATCTAAAAGTTGCAATATAAAAATCTTGTTGCCTCTGGTAACATCAGTGTTTCAGAAGTTACCATAACATTGCTCGCTTGTCAGATTTTAATAAAAAAAAAAGCCCCAGGCACTCTGTTAGATAAGAAATGAGAAACAGTTTTACACATGGACAATGATTACAATTTTAAAAGGCATGACAATTTGTATAAAAGCCACCACGCATATCACTGAACTGCAGCTTTGCCCAGCTGCTGTGCCCCTCCATCTCCCTGCTTTTTTTCCTGTACTGCCTAGACTCTGATCGAGACAGTTGGGCAACCTTCTCAGCGCAGGGAAGATACAAATGACAGTGCAGGACTGTCATTCCCATTGCTGTTTTGACACAGATTCCCTGGAACGCAGCAGCATTACAAAGGCAGGTTGAGGGGGCAGGGAAGGCAGCAGGCTGCACAACGCACACACACAGCTAGTCTGTCTGGAACAATTCTAGTTAAAATGCAGTAAAAATAAGTTATCTTTAAAGCGTTTGCATATGCAATCCTACAGAAGGTGACTCCTCAGCAATGCTCGGCGTCTTATTTTAGAATAGGTTAAAGGAATAAATTGCCATCCAGTCTTCACAGTCTAAAACATTAATCTCAGACTGCATCAGAACATTCAAAATCATCCCCCATTGTCTGTAGGAATCACATTTTTGTTTTGACCTTAACAGCACCTACCTCTACATATTTCTCACTAAATGTTCCTTAGTGAGATGAAAGATGAAGTCATTCATGAAAGACAATGAATATAAAATTACTCTCTTAACTTTTTAAAGAACAGCTTTGTACAGCCTCTCAAGTTTCTACATTCAAATGAGCAACTCGTACTCATTTGGTTTCACTGACTTGGTTTTTAAACAAAGATCAGAAAAACCTAGTATTTCTCTGCATCCAGACTTTCTCTACTACCACAAGTCCAGAAGAGTGAGATACAAAATGCATTTTGCAAGAACTAATCTCTTCAACTGGTCTTCCAGCTTTCTTGTGGATAATATCTATCAGAAAAGGTGACAACAAGGAACTGGAAGGAGGGACGTTTTGAAGTACAGCATTTTTCATCACAAACATGTAATCACAGGCTTAAACTGGCCCAGAGTAACTCAACATCTCATGCATGAGACTTCTTTAATACCACAAAACCAGGATTGGTCAACATGATGAGACATGTGAAGTAAGACTTAACCACTACTTTTGAGTGGAGTAGCTACAGGAATGTGTACACTCACCCTGAGAAAAAAATATGTTCTAATCAACCGCTAAAACAGCACTTACATGAACATTACAGATACACTGGAAAGACATGAAGTCAAGTCTGCAAGTGCTAGAGTGTCCTTCTGCCTTAAGTAAGGCTGGCACTTTCAGCTCTGCAGTTATCATGAAGAATATGTTACAAACTAAGTTAAAACACCATTTCGATGTCCAATTTCATACATCCCTACTCCATTTTAGAGATGCACATAAACTAACATGCATGATTGACTCTTCCGAACTTTCTTCCAGAAAACCTGAAGGAGGGAGGAATAGTCATAGAATCATAGAATGGTTTCTTTTGGAAGGGACCTTGAAGATTATTTCAAGGCCAGGTTAGATGAGGCTTTGGGCAACATGGTGTAGTGGAGGGTTTCTCTGCCCATGGCAGGGGGGTTGGAACTAGATGATTTTTAAGGTCCCTTCCAACCCTAACCATTCTATGATTCTATGATCATCCAGTTCCAAACCCCCTGCTATAAGCAGAGACACCTTCCCCTAGATCAGGTTACTCAAAGTCCCACACAACCTGTCCTTGAACAATTCCAGGGAGGGGAGAGCCGCAACTTCTCTGGGCAACCTGTGTTTCACCGCCTTCAATGTAAAAAATTTCTTCCTTATAACTAATTGAAATCTCTCCTCTTTCAGTTTAAAGCCATTACTCTTTGTCCTATCACTACACGCACTTGTAAAAAGTCCCTCTCCAGCTTTCCTGTAGGCCCCCTTTGAGTACTGGAAGGCTGCTCAAAGGTCTCCCTGGAGCCTTCTCTTCTCCAGGCTGAAACACCCCAACTCTCTCAGCCTGTCTTCATTGCAGAGGTGTTCCAGCCCTCAGATCATCTTTGTGGCCCTCCTCTGGACCCACTCCAGTAGCTCCATGTCCTTCTTGTGTTGGGGATTCCAGAGCTGAACACAGTATTCAAGGTGGGATCTCACAAGAGCAGAGTAGAGGGGCAGAATCACCTCCCCCGACCTGCTGGCCACGCTGCTTTGGATGCATCCCAGGACACGGTTGGCTTTCTGGGCTGCCAGCGCACATTGCTGGCTCACATTGAGCTTCTCATCCACCAGCACTTCCAAGTGCTTTTCCTCAGGGCTGCTCTCAATCCATTCTCCATCTTTCAAGCAATGTCTTATACTATACTGCAGAATGCACGGTAATTATTTTGTAATACAGAATTGTAGTAAAGTACAACTGAGGAAAAACTCAATCTGATTTTTTAAGTATGCTACACTTTGTCTGATAGTCACGTAACTGGTAAGTGTGTTCATATATATGGACAGATAACAACATCCACAAATACAATTATATTTTTTAAAAGTTGTTTAAATATTAAATTTTTAAGTCCAAAAAGTGTCTCATCTGACACGTACTCAGAAGAATCTTGAATTAAGCTACTAAGGTTCCACCAGTAAAAATTACACTGATCTTTAAGGTAAGCTTTACCTATGTGTACTTCAATTTTAACAAAAAATTGTTATTTTCTATAGACTCAAGTTGGGGATATTTTCTGGAGTTTCTGCTCTTTCTCAAATAATGCTTTAATTCCGTCTGCCAGAACAACATGCTTCTTACTCCTACTCTTCAAGATGCCTGTTTGTGCTCCACGAATATGAAGTCATATGTAAAACAAGATGAGAAATTCTCCATAACATCATTTAAGGTCAGCAGATCAATAACTTAAAAATATTGTTTTCAGCTCTTCTGTCACATGTGCATCATACAAGGCCCTTACTTGCCACTTGGAAAATCATTAGTCTTTTTTTCTACTGAATGTGCATTATAGAAAGTTTCAAGCAGCTAGTTCAGATATTTAATTAACAGAGGGTTTTTTGACAGATTTGTTTTTCTACCACCACTACTGCATTGCTCAACACATGACAGAAATTAGTCCTGCAGTACATATAAACTGATCTGCTTTAAGCAGCTGATCCAAATCCCATTTCAGTTAATTTTTCCATCAGTAGTTAGTTTAATTTTGCTGTATAAAGGAAAGTATATGCTTGAGGGCACTGTAAAAAGTAAGAAAGGAAAGGGCCCACCTGCATGTAAGAGCCCTGTAAAAGCAAGCAAAGGCTACCTAGGCTAATCTTGTTTAAACAGCAGTTTCAGAGACCTTTGTCTCTTATTCAGATCACTCTTCAGATGTAAAATCCAAGTGGATACTTTTATACACACTGTGTGGGCCCTTGGTTACATGCAGTAAAAAGATAAAGCATGGATAGATAGACAATTATTGATTTTAGTCATTTAGAGAAGACACAGGAACTGACAGAAATAAAAGAAGAAAAACAAGGCTGAGGAAAGGGGAAAAAACGCATCAAAACACAACAAACCAAAAAACCAGGAACCTGACAGATTTAGCAAGCTGCGTGTCACGTGAAAGCATGAAAAGCACGTTGTTATGGGAAGGCTGTTGAGCCTACTTACCAAGCAAGTGCTGAAGCAGCTAGGGTTGGACATGAAACAAATATTTAAGCTTGTTTGCATAGCTGAAGTTGGTTGTATGGAAATTTCCCAGTGGTAGCAATAAACACTTTTTACATCTACATGGTCTTTAGCCACAAATACGGACATTGACCAGAACAAGTGACTTTTCAATTATAAGGTGACTGGCATATCCTCTACATCAGTTATCAGAGATCTTTTTTGAAGGCATACCTGGCAGGTAGCATGCCTAGGAGCCACTGGAAGCAAAAGAAGAGAAGGGTGTCTACGTATAAAGAAATTTTAAATCCTCACTTTAAGTTGTGTTGCAGGAGAGATAGTTGTTACTAATGGCTAAATGGGAATTAAAACCTCAATTTTTAACAAACATAACTAGCAAAATCATTTCAGTCTCCTACAAACTTTGCTTACTGGTCTCTCTATCTGACATTAGAAAACAAATAGTTTACAATTTTTAAGAAGTTGAAATACGGACATACAATTTCTGGAGTATTTTTTAGACTGATAGAATCTAGAACAAGCGAAATGCATGCAGGTGGGTGAAAAGACTTTAAGACAAGAAACATTAAGAGAAGTTAAGCAGAGCTGTGCTATCAGTCTCAAGGAGACTCAGCTAGTAAACATCAGTAGTTATTTCCAATGAAAAGAAAAGAAAAATATATCTATCATAAAAACTAAGCCCAAAGATTCCTTGAAAAGCATGCAGACGACCAGGAATAAAAATACCTGTCAATATCTTCTATTTTCTGCATATTAAACAGCAATGACGGTACTATCTTGTCCATGTGCTGAGGTTCCCATATAGTCGCTCGAAGTTCATCATTAACTGTTTTCCGAACCACTCCCTGAATGCCCCTGATTCCAGCAATTCGGATCCTAAGGAAGGAAAAAAGTATTACGGAAAAGGAGAAACACAGTGCCTCCCAGGATGGCTGGTTACCTATTAGACAGTAGTAGTTCTGCAGTGTGGAACTTCATTAGGTTCTCACAAGCAGTAATTTGGAAATTTGGCCGATTCATTAAGGTTGTCTATTGGCTTTAAACACCTTTATAGCTTACAAGGGAGCTGACAAAACATACAGCTGAACAGAAGAGGATCTGTCAGGATAACACTGACTCTGATCAAGGAATACTCAAACTTGTGTATACCACCTCCAGAAGAAAGTCACGTGGATAAAACCCATCAGCTCTATGCAATTTACTTCCTTTCGGTTGAAACTCAACCCATTCCAGTGCTGAAGAAAAATGCTGTGAAGTTATCACAGCAAACCTGAAGCAGTATCTACCACAGTCTTGTGATCATACCTTTAAAAGTTGTAATTAAGGTTCTGGATCAATCATAAAAAATCCTTACAGAATTGTGCAAGATTCACAACACAGAAAGCAAAGGACAATTCTATCAACTTAAGCCTGACACACAGGAGGAAGCACTTTTATCCTAAAACCGTTTGAACAAAATTAACTGAGAACTGATCAACAACAATAAAATCATACAAAGAAAAAAATAATACAAGTTCTAAAACCCACTTAGTTTAGCTGTTAGCTATTTTCATTATTTTGTTATACAAAAATAGTTTGCAGGATAATCTGTGCAACGAAATGAATGGCAAAATGTTCTTTTTTGAAGTGGTAACAACAAATTAGCCATTATAATAAATTGTAGGAATAGAATTTTACTTACTGGAAACAAGTAGATGAAAGGGTGATACAATCATCAAGTGAAATAAGCACAAACTTTGCTAGAATTTGAAATTATTTCTATTAAAATCCATCCCTCATTTTTTAAATCTTAATTTCAGTATGGCCAACACATAACTAACCTTTGTTCAGTCAAATTCGCTAAATTAAAACATTTGCTAGATGAACTACAGAGCTAATCAAACTCTATAATTATTTTTATGTTTCGATTTCTATTTTTAATACTTAAATCTGTAGCCCCCTGTTTTTCAGCTCTTTCTAAACAAACACATGTGCATTCAACATGGATCCAATAACCATTCTAGACCTTTCAAGACAGTTTTAATAGGGTTACATAAAAAACAGAGAACAAGAAGGATGCACAAAAAGCTAGAAAAGCACTTGCTATTGCTGCATTACAACTGCAGTGCAGTATCCAATAATAAGTTTTCAATATTAAGGATCTAAGATTAAAATACAGAGCTTCCAAAATTCCATCACTGACACAAGGGGTTTTTTTTGCTTTTTAATTATTAGTTTTTAAGGTAATCAAGTTTTGCTGACACTTTAGAGACATTAAATACTAGCACTGACCTCCGCTGCAGAAAGGGAAATCTCACTTACCAGGTGGCACTCAGACTGGGGAGCCGACATTACCTGACTATGTGTGTAGACGATGTTCAAGCTCCCATTCAAGTCAGTCACTTCACTGGAACCTCAAGCTAAGCAGGTGAACAGTGACTCCAGATGTCTGTTTTAGGATGAGCTGAGTTACTTCCTAGGCCCCATCAACGATATCAACTACTTATGATGTCTGTGTTTAGAACTGCAGCCTGCAGTCATAGTTCATCTGTTTTGTTGAATTACCTCAGCCCCTACAGCACATCTGGTATGCCAATTCCAAGAACTCTGGATTGTTGTTCATAAAGATCTCTTTAAAGAGAGATACAATCAAACTGTTTAAGATGATGCGGAAAAAATGATACTGCTGTGCATTTCATCACCTGAGTAAAATAATGATTCAGATGGGGGAAAAAAGGCCACACTTCTGTGTACTGGAGCTCCACTAGCACTAATCTCATGCTCTTACTGTTGTACAAGAGGTTGAAAACTAGAGGTTGAAGTACTGAGGAAGCTGCAGCATTAAAATTCACCACATCTAGGAAAGATTTCATTCCTCTAAAGAATGCTCAGATAGGTATTAAAGCGGAGGTTACGTTTAAATCAAGGTCATGTATGGTCTTGCATCACTAGGACGAAATTCCTCCCTGACTAAGGGTACATCAACATTGCAAACTGAAATACCAACATTGGTGCAGGCTGACAATCTGAAGAGCAGAAGATTAGCACAGTTCTCCTACTCCTACAGCACTCACAGCTTTGAGGTATGTTACTCTGGGGTATCCTTATGAGTGGTAGATCATACGTTATAGACTAATCAGGAATGTACCAGTCTCTTAATTCATTCCATGCTCTAGTTCATTACTGATATTACCTCTCATTTGCAAGGGGGAATGAAGCTGAAAGTAGCACTAAAACTCCTGAGCTGAGTTAGCTTATTTCCTAACCTCCAATGAAATGGTTTACGGTAAGTAAGCAGTTTAACATTTGTTTCCGTTTCATTAAGCCTAAAAAGGCAAAATCTCAAAAAGCTCATTAAAACATTTATGAACACTATTTGTGACCATCAGCGTCAGGTAAATTACTGCACCTGACAGAAGCTTAAGTTATGAGGCAGTTGTATGATACGCTGGTTTCACTGGTGACACCTGCTGAAGAAGTTTCCATCCTCTTTGCCCGTTGGTCCTCAACTACAATGTACCATCCCTTCAGTTCTTCCCCAAACAATTCACGGCGCCATCCTGTACAACCCTTTACTGGAATAATCTTCTTTAAGGGAAAGGAGGTGTGGGCAGGGGGCAAAGTACAGGAGAAGCAAGCGCATTTAATTCCAAATCTTTTAGAGACAAAGTTTACAGCAGAACCCTATGCACAGGAATAAGGTGACAAAAAAGACAGCAGTAAATTACAAAAAATGAGGAATGAACCAGAAGACTAAAGGAGGACTGAATTTGTTGTTTTCGTTTTGCTGTTTGTTTTTTTTCCTAAGCGATGTACACAGTATTCATTCATTCTGAAAGTACAGTTCATGGATTTTTAAAACTGCAAGCTTTTACAAAAAATCCTTATGCGTTGCAGCTAACTTAACAGCAGTACACCCAAAGGGCTGAATAAATGTTCAGCATACAGATTTTTCACAGTTGGCTGAACAATTTAATGCATGGAAATAAAAAAGATGAGTACAACAGAGATGTAAACCATATAATCTGAAAAGCCTGAAGTTTTCTAAAACTCTCAGGAGTGAAATACTGAGTGCCCATTGATATAAAGAGCACATCGGCAGGGGGAGCTGAAGTAAAAAAATTGTGATGCTTACATAATAGTGTAAAAAATTGTAATCCTAATTTGTGAGAGCATTTCAGTTTTACCCACAGTATCATACTGCAGACATCTAAGAAAAATCAATTTTAATGAGTAATTCTCAAATAGAAGGCTCAAAATATGCTTTTGCTATTCACGTAAGTAGCTCCATTAATTTCTCAAATGAGTTATGCAACTCACACACGTTTACAGTAATAAGTGGTGCCTTTCTGGAGACAATCCACGCAGTCTGGCAGGTATTATTCAGGTAAAATTCCACTTAAATATTCTAAGAGTTCTAGTCACCTAAGATTTGCAATATTCAGTGTTATTAAAAAAGTCAGACTTTGATTTTCTTCCTATGGAATGAACTATTCCACTACATATTATAATAAAAGCTGTATTACAGACTACATTAATGTGTTCAGACAGTTTTCTGTAATACATACAGAACGGCACTTACTTGGTTTGTATTTCTGGATCGTGGTCACATGAATGACACATGGCACTGAATCGAGACACAAAGAAGTCGTAGCGTCTGTGATATGAAGGTGTGTCTTCCTCAATGTTGGCAAATTTGACAAACTGGAAAATGAAATACATTAAAAAAGGTTTTGATACCACTTTCCCAAAAGAGAATAACGAATACTAAGCTTCATTTAAGAAGTAACACCACTTTGCTGGGCAGCCTGTTCCAGTGCTTGACAACCCTTTCAGTCGAGAAATTTTTCCTCATATCCAATCTAAAGCTCCCCTGGTGCAATCTGGGGCCATCTTCTCTTGTCCTATCGCTTGTTACTTGGGAGAAGAGACCATAACCCACCTCAGTAAAACATCCTTTCAGGTAGCTGTAGAGAGCAGTCCAAGCAATCAAATGGTACACCGTCACTAGCAACATTCTGACTTACCAAAATTTAAGGGAAATAAACTTGGAGGCATTCTGTCAATTCTGTCTATCTTTACAAAACAGAAAAAGAAGGAGTCACGGAATTCTATCCCAGTCAACTTTAATGACATTTACAGAAAGACACTCTGAAAAAAAATTCCAATTTGCAAACATCTACAAAGTAAGTAGAAGAAAGAAGGGCTAAGTAACAGTCAACATGGATTTGTCAAGAACAAATCACATCAACCCAGCCTAAATTATTCCTATGACAAGGAAATAGATTCTGTGAATCCAGATGAAGCAGCATCTGTCAGATCTTAACGTCAGTTATGCTGTTGACAAAAAATACACAAAATTCTCAAAGGGAAGCTAGAAAAACACTGTCAAAAGAACACTTCCCATAAGATAGATGCAAAAAGAGTTTGGAAAAAACATAGAAACACTTGTAAATCATCTAACTACAACAATGTATTGAGTGAACTTCCGAAGGGGCTTGTCTAGAGTACAGTAGTATTTGAATTTCTCTAGAGACTTAAGATGACAGAGTGGGCTCATCAAATTTGCAAAAAGAACAATAAGCTGGCTAGGACTGCAGGCACACTTCATGCCTGGTTCTTGACTAACTGGAAACAGGACCTGAGAAAGCAAGGATGCAATTTAGGAATGACAAATGCAAAATGCCATTTTAAGACAGCTGTACAAATACAAGCTGAATGCAGAAAAGAAACTGCACATTCAACAAAAGTCAATGTTGTTATACCGGTATGAAAAAGAAAACAATGTATTGCGATACATGTGTACTACCCATGACACCTATGAAGAAATTTTTGCCATCTAATTGGCACTAATAAACCATTAGATGAAGTACTGCACCCAGCTGAAGCACCACAGCTCAAGATGGTGATTAACTGATACAGTCCTTCAATTATTCAAAGGATGAACAAAGCTTTAGATAAACACCTGTTAAAAAAGACTGAAAGACATCAAATTATCTAGTCTAGAGCTGCATAAAAGAGATTAGTCTTACAATGTACAGAAGATAGCTATAAAAAGAAAAGAAATAAATGGTTTTCTTTGCCCAATGGTAATAGGAAAAGCAGTAACAGGCTTACCATGAAGCAAAGGCTACCGAAGTGAGACACTAAAAAACTCCTCCTTTCTAAAGTGAGCAGACTGCCTAAAGACATTTTGGATTCTCCATCACTGACAGTTTTAAGAACAGACTAGGGGGAAGAAAAAAAGGGAAAGGAAAGGTTGAACATAGTGCTGGTTCTGCCCCGAAGCAGGGAGATGTCCCATTAAGATCCCTCCATCTCTTCTCACCCCAGTATTCTTCTCACCAATTGCTGAGCACAGGCTGAGGCATTTCTTGTTTACTTGTCAAGATGCAGAACCTGCTTTTATCAGCACGTTAACATAGACAACCCTGAAGTACTTCAGCAGAGTCTACAGCGTACTGATTTGTGGACGTTTTGAGGTAATTTTCAAGCTGAAAGTGAAAGCTGTGTATTTCAGAAAATGCACCACTTTTTCTACTCTTTTCTAAGGTCTTTTTTCTGTTTTATCTTGAACACTTGGCCCTTTCAGCTGCACTACCAGTTCACCCACTGAAAGCTACAGATGCAGCTGAAAATGATACTGTTTGCTAAGACTGTATTCTCAGCCATTACTGAAAACGGAGCAAAACTGTGTAACACTAGTCCTTCTGGAGGGAATATCCTGTATAGCCAGGTCATAAGAAAGTGACAAACAGTCAAAAACCAATTCTGTCCAGTTTACTGCCACAGTTTGAAAGACAAACCACAAACAGCAACCATACTTTTTTTTCAGTACAGTGAGTTATTAAAATGACAATTTCCTTCCCAATAGACCCTGGAAAATGTTTTAAATGTCTTACGTCTCGCTTGTTTGTTTCATGGAATTGTTAATTACAAAGTAGAAACAGATTTTCTAATATTTTTTGAAGACAGGAACCTAATTAATTCTTACAATTTAATAAAGCATAAAGCCCAGGGGTAAAAAAAAAAAAGATCCATACGATCTTAGTATTTTCCAGACATGCAAGTGTCCAAGTCTACAACTGATTCACCCAGCAACCTTAAATAAAAGAATGTAAAAGAAAGGAAGCAAAAAGATCAAAGCACGCACAACACTATGGGAGTGGCCATGAGAATATTAACTCAACCATCAATTAATATTAGCATATTAATACTATCTAAAATACAAAATTATTTGACTGACAGGATTTCCAACATGAAGACTTAATATAACTCTGATAACTGTTTTACCAGAAGAAAGATTCATTGTATCAAGAAATTATTTTGTAAGAATAAACAATGAATTTAGGCCAAGAAAGGGCCAGGGACTCTCTCCCACTCTGGATATTTCTCCTGCATCATGACGTATCTGTGTAGCAAGGAAGCAAGTACCCAGAAGTTACAACTCTCAAAATGGCACACACATTAAAATGTTCAGAAAGGGCAATTTTTAAAAATTTCTTCATGTGTACAACAAAATAATATCACCCACTGAACATAAAGCATTTCTGAAGCATATTCCAGGATTAGCATTCAGATGGCTGAACATTTCAGCCACAGAAAAGCTAACTGTGATAACAGTTTTGAGTTGCACTATCAGTTCAGTAAAGTATACAATTCCATTTCCTTATTGCAATTTTCAGGTTTTACAGTACACGAGTCTATACCTTCTCCTTGTTTAGCAGTGGTGCCCTTAAGCTGTTACTTTTGTTAAATAAAGAATATTTTACTCCTAAACAACTAAGATATTTTCAAGCATACTTCAAATATAAAAATTATTCAACCTAAAAAAGGACAAAACTCTTATGAAAAATCCAAGCACTTGCCAAGGAAACACTTACAAAGCTTTTATAGACGTAAACATGTCATTCAATCATAGTTAAATGCTTGCAATCACCCACTGGTAATTTATGGAAGTTTTACCAGTATAAGCATCTTCTATACTTGTACAATACAGAAGGTACAAAAAGGAACTTACATTGATAATATCTTATTTCCATTAATTTTGAAACCAATAAAATTCAATCAGTACAAAAACATATAAATCAATCACAAAATAAAGAAGGAATGTATTATCTCTTCAGATGTTGTTTGTTCCAGACTGAGCCAAGAAAGTTGGATCATATTACCAGGGAGAGAGAGACTGTGCGAGTCCTGGAAGTAAATAATGCAAGTTCGCAAATTAAATTCCTAAGGACATAATTTCTTATATATATTTAAGCAACCTTATCACTCATGTAGCAAGTACAGTAGGAGAAAAATCCTAACTTTTAATGGACCCTGGATGTCTTTAAAGACAGTCAGTTTTTTGCAGCAATTCAAGAACAATCAGCATGCATCATATTTAAGTTTGAGCTGTGTTACTTAAAGTATCTCCCTGTAAACATAGTAGGCTGAATCTGAGCAGTATTTTTTTTATATTTGAGCTCCCCAGTCTGTCTTCTACCACCTGCAATTTTCTCATGTTTCAGATGGGGGAAAGAGGGTGCTGATACTGATGGATATCATCCTTTATAGACAAAGCTACTGTGTTTCATTATTAGGAAACTACCACATAGGAAGACATGATGTCCTATAAACATAAGACTCATACAAGCTGCACAGCACAGCACCAAGGAGAAGTGTGTGAGTGTACATATGCACTTCACCGAACAAATGCAAAAAGGGCAAACACCGCGGCTTTTCTAAGGGCAATAGCTTTAAACTGAAAGAGGGCAGATTTAGATTAGATATAAGGAAGAAATTCTTCACTCTGAGGGTGGTGAGGCACTGGAACAGGTTGCCCAGAGAAGGTGCGGATGCTCGGTCCCTGAAACTGTCCAAGGCCAGGCTGGATGAGGCTTTGGGCAACCTGGTGTAGTGGAGGGTGTCCCTGCCCATGGCAGGGGGGTTGGAACTAGATGATCTTTGAGGTCCCTTCCAACCCAAACCATTCTATGATTCTATGATTCTGTATTGGTGCACAGAATGAAAGAAGCATCTTGTAATAAAGATAAGTTTCCATCACATACTTCCATATTAGCACGCTGCAGACAAGCAAGACAAACAAATGAGTACTGTACTGGGAATATCAATTCTGACATTCTTTAATTTCACAGTCTTGACATTTTATACTATTTTTACATACACATGCACTTCAATACTGCCAAAACTAACTGCTTTTATGAGCCAACACCAACAAATATAAAAATCTTCTTGCTATATCAGGCACTGACTGGTCACTTTTCCACTTGGGATACTGCTTGTCTCCTTTTAAATAACAAATGATGACAACTAGCAATAACAGTCACCTTCTGATGGGCAGGAAGCCCAACACTGTCACTGACGATAATTGTTATTTCACTGCTCCTAAGAAGCAACTGTCCTTCTAAAATGAAACACTTTATCAACTAAAGAAATCATTTGTGGTAAATAATTTAAAATGTTTTAATACTGGGTTCTACATACATCTGCTATTTTTCAGATGAAAAAGCAATGTTTTACTATCAAAATACAAAGAAGAATTCACCCTGTCAATATTCTTAAAATGTTTTGTATTCAACTGAGTTTTGTCAAAGTAGTTTAAGATGAAAATTTTACCAAATTAAAAAAAAATTCTCTCTTGTCCAAAAAAAATTTCACCACAAGTTCAAAGACTTTAAAGCTGTTTAGACATGCAGAACAGGCATAATTAATTCATTCTATCCTCCTAATGTGACCACAATGGATCTAAGCAATACATTTAACTATTTGTAAACGAGGGAGAGAGATGTTTTATGTGACACTTGGTTACTGAAATTCTGCAAAATGGTTAGAGAGGGAAATACAGCATTGCCATAAGTTTCTAAGTAAAAGCTTATTGCGATCAGCCTTCAGATTCTGTAATACTTAAGCCAAAGAAATCTCACTTTTTCCCACCATATTTTTCCAGTTTCCTCAGCAGCATATGCTATCCTAGCACATAGTTAATAAAAATATCTTCCATGACAGAAAAAAACATTTTGAACTTCATAGACACTGCCAATTTGAAATCTGGTCCACTTCAAAAAAAACCACAATTCAACATACCTACTATTGAATTTAACTTGTTTTCAAGTATCTGTCTCCATAAGTAGATTCACAATTATGCTATTAAAAAAATCATTGCTGCTGTAGGAAATAAGCTAATATAATTTACAAATGCAACATACAAAAAGTCATAAGAAATAATTATATGTAAACTGAAGATCAAGCATAAAAGTATATAAATGAAAAACAATTGGTATTATAGAATAGTAATCTTCAAGCTAGCTTTTCAGAAGTAAATCAAATTAAAAAATGAAATTTAACTTCAAAACAGAATTTAAGAAGACAAACTGCTGAATGCAACTTTGGGGGTTTTTTAAGATATAGAGCACCAAGTAGAATAAGTTCTGCATTCCAACAGAGGTATTTGGAAGTCAGGGAAAAAACCTTGGAATATAGTGGGAGCTTTCAGATCATTCCAAGATTTTAAACTAGTTGCAGTCATTCAGAACACAGATTTGTTTCATCTGAAACCTTGACTTCCGAGCAATCACAAGAGGCCCCACAGCTGAAGCAAAATTTGTTTGTGAGGCTGAGAAAAAAATACAACTCAAGACAGACAGCTGAATCGTACTTGAAAGACGTCACTTTGTATCCCAGTGAAGCTCTGAAATTCAGCTTTGGAACAGAAAATAATCAAGATCTACTTATAGCCACAACAATACTGCAAATCTTTTTAAGTGTAAGCAGACTATAAACTTGTACTGGGCTGAAATTGAGTTTAACCTAAAGTTATTATGGAAACTTTTCCAAATATTGCCTGGCTTTTAACCAGTTTAAAGACATTTACTTCATACACAGTTTACTCTTCTCTTCCAGACAATACCAGTTTCCACTCCGAAATGGTATATCAGAGTAACTAAAGCATGTGAAAGATCATTCAGTCACTCTACCATCTCTACTCGTGTTTGGATTTTTTTGGTTTGTTTGTTTATTTATTTCCTTCAGGAGGAGAGGAAAAACTAAAAACCACTAAATATGATGGTAAACTTTCTCCACATCCGACAAAATGTATTTAGGAGCACAAGGTCAGTGTCCTTGGTAACAGACAAGCTGTTAGTGCCAATGGCTTCGCTCCTTTTGAGTCAACACAAAAAGACTTATCTTTTCTCTCCGTGACTATAGAAGGGACCTAGGGAAACTACCATAATTAGGCTAAAATTAGCCTTTGGAATACTGTTGAATAGCCATATAGATTCACTCTCCTCACAAAATTTGACATCTTATTTAGGAAAACATAATTGGTTTTGGTTACCGACTTTTACAACAGACAAACATAAATTCTCTCCTAATTTAGAAAGTCCATTAATCTGCTTTGCTTATAAAGTTCATTAGGAGCTGACAGGGATATCAAACGGATGACCATACGGTGGAGCTCTGTTCAGTAACATTCATTTGGAAGTGACGTGTGGAGGTTGGCAGTAATTGTTTGCCACCAAGGATTTTACACAACTGGAATCATAGAATGGCATAGGCTGGAAGGGACCCTTAGAGATCATCTACTCCAACCTCCCTGTCATGGGCAGGGACACCTCTCAACTGATCAGGCCACTCAAGGCTCCGTTCAACCTGGTCTTGAACACCTCCAGGGAGAGGGCATCTACCACTTCTCTGGGCAATTTATTCCAAAGTCTCATCACCCTCATGTTGCTCACCAGCCTAGGCTGCAGCTCCAAGGATATCGCTGCAGCTCCTGCAGCCAGGTGGAAATGGCCCACCTTTTGTAAGCAGGGCCTAAACCTCAATTAGGTAATTACCAATTCAAGCCAGATGGGTGATAGCCATACCCTCATACTGAAGAATTTCTTCCTAAGATCTAATCTAAATCTGTTCTCCTTCAACTTAAACCCATTTCCTCTTGTCCTATCAGTGGACACTCTTGTAAAAAGTCCCTCCCCAGCCTTCCTGTAGGTTCCCTTCAGGTATTGGAAGGCAGCTATTAGGTCCCCCTGAAGTCCTCTCTTTTCAAGGCTGAATGATCCCAGCTCCCACAACCTGTCCTCGTAGCAGAGGTGCTCCAGCCCCTGGATCATCTTTGTGGCCCTCCTCTGAACACGCTCCAACAAATCTGTGTCTCTCTTATGGTGGGGACACCAGAACTGGACGCAGTATTCGAGGTGGGGTCTCACAAGAGCAGAGTAAAGGGGGAGAATCACCCCTCTTGACCTGCTGACCACGCTTCTCTTGATACATCCCAGGATGCGGTTGGCCCTCTGGGCCGCATGAGCTCACTGCCAGCTCATGTTGAGCTTCTCATCTATAAACACCCCCAAATCCTTCTCTCCAGGGCTACTCTCAACCCACTCTGTGCCCAGTTTGTATTTGTGCCTCGGGTTGGCCCAACCCAGGTGAAGGACCTTGCATTTTGACTTGTTGAAGCTCATGCAGTTTGCACTGGCCCATTTCTCAAGCCTATCAAGGTCCCTATGGATGACATCTCTTCCCTCAAGTGAGTCCAAGGCACCACACAACTTGGTGTCATTGGCAAACTTACTGAAGGTGTACTCAATGCCGTCATCCATGTCTCTGACAAAGATGTTGAACAGCACTGGACCCAGAACAGACCCCTGAGGAACACTGCTTGACACTGGTCTCCATGTAGACATCACACCATTGACCACAACTCTTTGAGTGCAACCATCCAGCCAATTCTTTATCCACCAAGTGGTCCCTCTATCAAATCTGTGTCTCTCCATTTTAAAGACAAGGATGTCATGTGGGACAGTGTCAAACGCCTTGCACAAGTCCAGGAAAATGACATCCGTTGCTTTACCCACATCAACCAGCACTGCAGCTTTGTTGTAGAAGGCCACTAAATTAGTCAGGCACGACTTGCCCCTAGTGAAGCCATATTGGCTGTCACCAACCACTTGGTTATTTTTTATGTGCCTTAGTACAGCTACCAGGAGAATCTGTTCCATGATTTTACCTGGCACAGAGGTAAGGCTGACTGGTCTGTAGTCTCCTGAGTTGTCCTTGGTCTCTTTTTTAAAGACTCTTTTCTAAACTGGAAAGTGAGGTACATCTTGCTGTTTAGCAGCCCAAGAAATAAGTTCTAAAGCTATTTCCCTAAGAGGTCTCACCCAGGCATTATTATACAAAGAAATCAAAAGAAGTAGGGTCGTCTGGCTCAAAGATATTTAAATACATTTATATCTACATTTCATTACCCTCAGTAAAGCTGCCCTGTTAGTTTGGGACACAAAGGACTTTCTGCATTCCACCATGATAAGAAATTCTACTCCAGAGCAGCATCACTCTACTAAGCCCTCCTGCCTCCTTGAACTGCAACTCCAATTAACTCAATCAACTAGAAATCATGCCCAAAGGAAAGCCCAACAGTTTTACGGAATCCAGAAAGAACCTCCATGCTGCTAGCAATGAAAATGTACACGAAATACAAGCATTACTTCTTTACTCATGTAAAAGCAATCACTCTAAGTGAAAACAGTCCACATCACAATCCTATAGGAGATTCCTATTGTATCAGCAGGGAGATACAACGGTTAGAAGGGAAGTATGACAGAACTATACTACTGATTGTATCCATCACTCTATTTGGAAAACTAGATCTCCAAATCTTCATTTTGACTCTCTTAGTTATGCCCTTCAAGTCTGGATCTGAATCCTGAAATACTTAAGCTAATAAGATGGTGAGATTTTAATACTGAAAGCTTTTGTCTCTTGGCTACTTTTCAGCTAACAGGAATCTTCCTGTGTAGTGTCAGTCCTGTGGAGAAGGATGTTGTTTCTTCCTTCTCACACCATCGCTCTCATTGCTGGAGAGCAAGAAAACACTGTTAGTCTTCTTGGCTCCAGGAGGTCTGTTTAAAGATTAAAATATGATTCACAGAACAACTTTCCTGTTCCTTCCAGAAGAAGTAGTTATCTCTGCAGGGGATGAGCCCAGCCATCAAAAGAATGACTGACAAAAGATTGACTGAAAGGAAACAGTTCTGCTTCCAGCTGGTATCTGCTCTGTGTTCAGGCCCAAATGGTACACTCTGCTACATAAAGCATCTTCTCAATTCATGTTAACTGGCAGATACTTTGTGACTCCTGAAACTACTTTTGTACAGCAAATAAGCAAAGATTCATTCTGATTTCATTTAGTATCTGAGTTTACTCACAGAATTCGTTCCAAGAACTTGCAGCTTTGGTTCACCTGATTCCAGAAGCTTGGCCACCATATGAAGGAAACTTTCAACAAATGGTTTTATGCTTTGAGAATGACAAGCCATTAGAAGTTGGTCCAATGCTTCCATAGCAATTAAAACATACCTGAAAATTAATTAGAGAGGCTTACATAAACATGTGCTACATTTGTCACTAGCTCAATTAAATTTATGTTCTTGTTACTACAAAAATTAGAAAACAAAGGGTGAAAGGCATATATTTTTGCATTATCTAAAAACAGAAGTTATATGTATTTCCTACCATTATCTTTCTTATTATTTAAGGAGGAAGGGGGGCACGGAGTATAGAGTATTTTTAGAAGAGATGTCATAATACTTGGTAAGAATAAATATAGTTCCGTTTTCTTTTCTAGCACATTTTATTTCCAACTATAAATCCCAGATTTCTAGTCTACAGGCCCTCTGTCTATCCAAATCCCAGTACAGAAAGCGAACAACTTATGCTCCTGCAGTCAGACAACATGCTAAGTAAATGAAAAACAGGAAAGAAAGCAAGGAACAAAATTAATTACCCTAAAGAATGGCGATTTACACATTCTATAAAGTTATGAAAATAGCTTTTGACATTATGAAGGCCAATAATGATGGTGTATGATGGACATCGCTACTTCCTAGACTCAATATTTACTACTCCATTTCTGCATTCTTTAAAATCTTCTCCCTGGGAAGAACGGGTGGTTGGAGGAACGGTGTTTTTAGCTTTATTTTTATTTCTCACTATCCTACTCTGTTATTAATGGGCAGTAAACTAATTTTACTCAAGTCGTGTCTGTTTTGCCCATGATGGTAATTGATGAGTGATCTCCTTGTTCTTATCTCAACACACGAGCTTTTCCACCTTGTTTTATTGTCTCTAAACTGGAAAGACATGGTTTTGATGGATGGACCACTTGGTGGATAAGGAATTGGCTGGATGGTCACACTCAAAGAGTTGTGGTCAACAGTTCAATGTCCACGTGGAGGCCAGTGATGAGTGGTGTTCCTCAGGGGTCAGTACTGGGGCCAGTGCTATTTAACATCTTTGTTGGAGACAAGGACAGTGGGATTGAATGCACCTTCAGCAAGTTTGCAGATGACACCAAGTTGTGTGGTGTTGTGGACACGCTGGAGGGAAAGGATGCCATCCAGAGGGACCTTGAAAGGCTGGAGAGGTGGGCCTGTGAGAATCTCATGAAGTTCAACAAGGCCAAGTGCAAGGTCCTGCACGCGGGTCGGGGCAATCCCAAGCACAAGTACAGGCTGGGCAGAGAAGGGATTGAGAGCAGCCCTGAGGAAAAGCACTTGGGAGTGCGAGTGGATGAGAAGCTCAACATGAGCCGGCAATGTGCGCTGGCAGCCCAGAAAGCAAATCGTATCCTGGGCTGTATCAAAAGAAGTGTGGCCAGCAGGCCGAGGGAGGTGATTGCCCCTCAGCTCTCATGAGACCCCACCTAGAATACTGTGTTCAGCTCTGGAGTCCCCAACACAAGAAGGATATGGAGCTACTGGAGTGAGTCCAGAGGAGGGCCACAAAGATGATTCGAGGGCTGGAGCACCTCTGCTATGAAGACGGGCTGAGAGAGTTGGGGCTGTTCAGCCTGGAGAAGAGAAGGCTGCGGAGTGATCTTATAGCAGCTTTCCAGTACCTAAAGGGGGCCTACAGGAAAGCTGGAGAGGGACTTTTTACAAGGGCGTGTAGTGATAGGACAAGGGGCAATGGATTTAAACTGAAAGAGGGCAGATTTCAATTAGATATAAGGAAGAAATTTTTCACTCTGAGGGTGGTGAGGCACTGGCACAGGGTGCCCAGAGAAGCTGTGGATGCCCCATCCCTGGCAGTGTTCAAGGCCAGGCTGGATGAGGCTTTGGGCAACCTGGTGTAGTGGAAAGTTTCTCTGCCCATGGCAGGGGGGTTGGAACTAGATGATCTTTGAGGTCCCTTCCAACCCTAACCATTCTATGATTCCTCCTGTCCTGCCAAGGAGAAGGAGCAGGGAGCAGATGGGTGGCCACCTGGCAGCCAGCCAGTTAAGGTTAACTCACCACAAAGGGACTGGGTCTGTCTTACCCCTTAAACTCGATCAGAACAAATATGAGGAAAAGCAGCTACCTGTTAGCATTTACTTTTAATGTTTTCATGTATTTCTTTACCCATAGCGGTGTCTGACAACATCTCTGCTCAGTCTCTCTGCTAGGTAAGCACCAATTCGATCCAGCTTTTCTGGTGCAGAAACTGCGTAGAAAGTCAGCTTCTCCATATCAGCTTTAACAAGTCCATCCTAAAAACACACATACAGAATATAAAATAAAAAACTTCACAAAAAGTATAAAGATTTTGAAGTGGTTTTCCTTTCGTCTATTCAACATTTAGAGATCTGAGCCATACAGATGGGCTTAAGGTACTGAAAAAAACCCCACCACTTTTCAACAAAATTGTTAATAGCTTAGCTGCAAAAATCAGCAATATAAAAAATTAAGTAAAATATATTTTAAAGAAATAAAGCAACTGTCTTCCCCATCTTTTTTCAGGGGGGGAACAGGTATTCTGAAAGAAGGCATTTAGTGAGATATGTCATCAGTTCTAAGACACACTTTTTTCCTACTGGTACAATGAAATTTTTTTCCATTCTCCCCAAAAAAAGTATATTTGATGCATAATTTTGACACTATATACAAATAAGACTGTAGTTTAAATATTTTGTTTCTTCAGTGTCACATCTTAGACAAGGTTGACATACAGAGTACCTGAAGGCTAATTGTTAGAACAAGATCAAAGATTAACATATTCGTTTCAACTTGAACTGCGATATGGATCTCCTCAGCTGAGTTTATAATTATAACTAGCAGGTAAGAAGGATAAGGCTTGTTGTCTTTTTTTGGTCTTTTTTTCTTTTTTTCCTAGAAGTTTGTAAAAACATTCTCTTCTTCAAATAAGTCACTTTGAAGCTTTTAACACACACACACACAATGTTAATTAATGCCTTTTATCAAGCAAGTCTTCTCATATTGTAATGCTATTCTCACAGAATTCTATGATTCTATGATTGTAGAAAAGGCCTGTAACTCAGTGAAACCTCCTGGACTGGCTTGTGTCCTGCACCGAGCCAAAGCGTGTTGACAAAAGCAGAGAGTAAGGAGTGCCAACTCAGAGCTGCTGAGCGAGATTAAAGCTCTAAGACAACAACTGCAGCAATTCTGGGCGTTTCTAAACCTGTGTCAAACAAGCAGATTAAAACAAAAGAATATAAAGAATATAGACATTACTAAATGGTAACAGAAGTTATTTATTTTCACAGAGGGTAAGAGCTGGGCTGTAATATAGCCCCAAGACTGCTCAAGTGAAATGAAAAAGCTGTATATAAATAACTGGAGGAATTAAAAAACAAGAAAAAAAACTCTTTGGATCACAACAGTCTGCTAGAACTATAAAAACTTACAGTCAGTTTGTCAAGAGTTAGAAAATCTAAATCTGGTAGAAAAACAGAAAATGTTCGTACCTGCAAACATAACAAAACAAGTGTTTGTGGTTCTAAGTAGTTATGAAGTTAAGTGCTACCTCTGCTGCAGAGTACCCTCTTGAATTAAATCTCTCTCCAAACAAAACATACTAATTTCACTCTTCAATATGCACAGCCCTGCTTTGAGAAGGGTATTAGACCAGATGACCTGTAGAGGTCCCTTTCCAGCTAAATTATTATACTAACCTCTATTAAAGCTATGAAGTGTTAAAGCAGAATTTACTGTAAAATATGAAAATAGATAAAATAAAATAAAATAAAATAAAATAAAATGTATTAGTTACTAACCAAAAAATTTTCAAATGCCTATCCCTTAAAATTTTAAAGTCATCACTCACTTTTGGATCTTCAGGAAATATGTTATCTACCAGACGCTTGTAGCGAGGTCGCAAAGCAGCACAGCAACAGCACACTCCTGCAAAGAGATTTAGCCAACAGAATTTAGAATTAAGTTTTAGAAACTCCGATATTTTCATTTTAAGTGACCAGCCGACAAGCAAGGAGGAAAAAAGTACAGTGAATTCAGCTGCTTATTACTATCAGCAATAATGCAAAAGTAAGATAATCAAAAATGACTGAGAAGCCAAATAAGCAGAACTACTATTATAATGTAATACATAAGAAAATATGCAAGCCTGTTGAGTATTAGAATGTACCTGTCATCCAGCCATACTTTAAAATATGCAGAAAAATAAATTCCAAAATTTAGTAATATTAAAACCAAAGCTACTTCATTTGCTGCTTTATCTCCATTGTGAATGATCATTTCAAAACCTAAGTAAACATGCATTATATTCACTCCTCTACAAAAAACATCAGCCTCGAAATCTCCTGATTTAAAGGCAACCATATAAAGCAATATAAAGCACAAAATACCAAACAGGCTCTCCCTTCATTATCCTACTATTTTACTGGGCATCAGACAAAAGACAGTCACTTGAAGTGAAGGAAGGTATTCTACTCTACTACTAATACTGTACTCATATAAAGATAACAAGAACAATACATGCAACTTGCAATTTTATTAATTTAAAAAGAGTCAGACCATCTGCTCTAACAAGATAGAAACCTACGAAGTAGGGTTTGTTTTTTCTAGCATTCAGGAATACTAGAATTTTGGAATAATTCCAGTTTACCTGAAGTAAAAACTCAGCACAAAAAAAAAAAAAAAAAACAACTAAAAAAATGGGTTTTTTTGGGGTTGTCAGCCACTGGAATAGGCTGCCCAGGGAGGTGGTTGAGTCCCCATCCCTGGATGTGTTTAAGAAAAGGGTGGATGAACTACTTAGGGGTATGGTTTAACGGGGGATTAGGGACGGTTGGACTCGATGATCTCTAAGGTCTTTTCCAACCTAGAAATTCTATGAAATTCTACGAAATTCTATGAAATGTTTCTAGGTATCTGTCCAATTGTTTTACCAGTGCAGATTTATTCGGAAGGAATTTAAATGCTTTGATAAATCAAGATCTAAATGTATCAGTGGACATATTATTAGACTAACTCACTAATCATGCCTCAGATTAACATTGAAGCAGCTCTGATGCATAAGAGCCATGAAATTGAAAATAATATACTGAATAATAATATACCAAGTATGTAGGCAGATCAGTGGCTGCCTGGTCTTTCAAATCTCAGTACAGAGAGCATTCAGACGAGCTAATTACCCTACAAATATACCTTATGCAAGGTGTTCGTATATGTACTCCAAAAAATCATAAAACACGTCGCTAAAATAGGAAAAGCTGCAAAAGCTTTTGCTGCAAATCAAAATAGGGAAAAGAATAAAGGATATCTTGGCAGTAACTTTGGTGATTATAATAAATCTGCAAATCTTTCAGGTTGTGAAGAAGTATTAGACAAACCCATCAGGATTTGTATTTCTTTACCTAAGTTATCCAAGTAACCTTAGTTGTTTGTAACTAAATTTATCAGAATATCTGTAGATTCATGACAAAGACTTCCCCTCCTCTACTTGTTTTTAGTAGAAGACTCTACGTGAGTAGATACTGTCACTCTGTTCCGCCTATATTCTGATACTACTTGTCTTTTGGACAAAAAGCTGAATTGTGCTCATAGTCTGACAATTTGCAATTTATTTAATCAGAAACAATTATCAAAGAGCACATTTAAACTTCTCCTCAGTGGTCTTTTAAATGAATATATAAATTACAGAGTTATGTATCACCAGTAAGATGAAGACAGACTTACAACTTCAATACATAGCTATGAAAACAAAATACATGCAAAGAATAAACAACTGGAATACCGAGAATTAGTGTGTGAAATAGTACTTTGTTACTACTATTAATTTCTTCATATGACTCCTTCTGCTGACACCTCCTACTCACAGAGGTCTAACCAATGTAAGAATCTACATAAAAGCTGGAGATCCTAAGTAGCTAAAATCAAAGCTATTTCATATGCCACTGGAAATTGTAAGTATCAAAAGAGATTAAAACCCTACTTGACTATCTTGGGTTAGGCCGCTCTGGCAGCCAAACCCTACACAGTTGCTCACTCCCCCACCCCCAGGGATGAGGGAGAGAATCAAAGAAAAAAAAGAAAAGAAACCCGTGGGTTGAGATAAGAACAATTTACTACTACCGCTACCAATAAATATACGTACGGATATGTACAAAGATAAATATATACAAACGAGTGATGTACGGTGTAATTGCTCACCACTCCTTGACCGAGGCCCGTCTCATCCCGAAGCTGCAATCCCGAAACAGATAAATCCCGATACCGCGATCCCGGATGAACGGGAGAAAATATCCCGAGAGTCCGAAAGTGAGAGTCCCAGAAGGGCAAAAGCGGGCTGACCCGGACTCTTATACTGGGCATGACGCTGCATGATATGGAATACTAATTGGCCAGTTTGGCCTCAATCTTAAGTTCAAGTACAAATCATAAGGAGAGTCTTGGACTCCTTGTCCCGGCCATGCTCCCCCCTTATCCTGTTGTGCTCCTGCTCACTGGCAAGAACACGGCAGCTGAAAAGTCCTTGAGACCTCAGTGCCAACTACAAACATCAGCTTGCTATCAACATGCTTCTCAGAGCGAGCCTCTGAGTAAAACCAAAACATGGAGCTCTTCTAGCTGCTAAAAAGAAGAGCCAACTCTGTCCCAGCTAAAACCAGGACATTGACTTAAACTAGAAATAATTCAGATAGCTGTATAAATAGAGTCTATTGAGGGCAATGTTGTGTAACATTTTAAAAGTAAAATCATAAAAAGAAAGGAGTAACTCGTTAGTGTCTAGTATGTCACTCAGTATTCAGAAATTCAAGTAACACCACCAAAATCCACCTAATATTGTTAAAATACACCTAATATTGTTGAATGTTTCTTGAGTTAGGTACACAGCTCTGCACCTGGCACAACACTCTTTATACTTGGATATATATTAACATTGCTCCAGAGTAAACACTATGCTTGATTACTAAAAAGTATAACAAAATATTTTCCTACAACTATCTGAAACATAGTAAGAATAGAAAATGCCATAAAATATTGTATGCAAGACAGAGGGAATTAACGATTCTTCTAGAGTTAGCTTCTCCCTCTAAGTGACAGGAGAAAAAATTCTTGCAAACCACAATTTAAGTCTTCAAATGATGTTTCAGAACTGTGGCAATTACATAAATTGAACATAAAACCTGGATACAGTCACTCCTCTGAGAAGGATGAAATATCAGATAACAGTACCAACTCATTCTGACAGCCTTACCAGATGGTTTCAGTTCATGGAAACTCAATATATTGTGTTCAATTACTGCTCTTCAAATTTATGGCACACAGGGAATTTTGACATTAAAAAAGGCCTAAAAAGAAGTATATTACATAAGATTTGAAAATTTTCTCTTCTTCGCTTCTTGGATTTTCAATAGTATATTTACATTGCTATATATTTAATTATAGCACAATTTACATGAAAAAAAACCACCACCATCTATCATCAAAATATAAAACTAAAATTAATATTAATTTTAAAGTCAGTAAAAGAATTTTCAACAGAACATTCAAGCACTAGAAAGCTAGAGTTAATCTATCACAGCTTTCATCTTCCAAAGATATTTTGAGTAAAGAAATTTAAGCAGAACACTATCAGAAAAAAATTAAGTGATAGGCTCTCCAAAGGACACAGGAGAAAAAAGAAAAACAAAAGCAAAAACCAAAACAATTAACAGCCATGAGACATACTTTGTGTGAAAATTATTTATCATTGTTCAGTGTTTTTATGTAACCAGGAAAGATTGATAAAAACACAGAAATAGGTTTAAAAAAGGATGCATGAATATAAAAAAACCCACACGAGAATCAAGTCTTAACAACATACATTAAAAATAGACTGAACTTAAAAAAATAAAACAGAATATAGGAACATTTCACTATGTGGACCAGAAAAGATGAATGTTTCAAAAGATGGAGAGAAGCTGAGCAACTGAAAACAGATTATCTACTTCTTGGATAGAAATTTAACCCAGATAAAAGCTGATCAAAGAGATTCATTTCACACAAATAAGCTGTTTTGTAGGTCTACGGAACGCAGACACTAAGCCAGGTAAAAAGAACTTCTAAGTCAGGTAAAAAGAACCTCTTCCATTCTATGGAAGTTAATTGCTGAAAAATCCTATGACTATTTCCTTTCAGTGCCAGGCAAAATTTGCATTTTAACGGTCTCCCCCTTGAAGACATCTTTACGTCATTTAATACAAGTAAATATGAAGGTTACAGCGGTATCTACAGAGAAGTTCCCACTGTCACACGATAGTCCACATAAGAGGTTTAAAACTGTTCACTTCTGCAACAGTGGGAATTTCCAAGCTTAAACATGCATGTTCTTTTCTGCTAAAGGCACCCTGCAATCTGCATTTTACGTGTTAAGACTACGCGTATTTCCCGGTGGTACAGGTTCTTCCTTTTACACACATTTATTCTACACAAAAGCAGCAAGAAGAAACAGTCCACATTATCAGAAAATGGTAATTTCACCTACCCAAACACATACACGGTCTCGGTTCAAAAGCAGAATTATAATCATAGGCTTTTTCTTGCTCAACAGTTGGAACTTGAACGTACTGCCTCATCCTGGGTATGATTTCACTCCTCGGGTGCTCTCTCCTTTTTCAGAAATTTGCTCTCTCACACTAGCACAGAAGCAGTTGCTTCACAGGAGGGCTCTGCAACACGGTAAGCTTATCTGATTAGCTCCGTGACATCTACATAAAGCCACCAAACACGTGAAAAACTTCAGTATCAAATTCTGTTAACGAGGCCAGGCACAAGAACAGGGAAAAGAATAAAAGACACATCGTCAATGTGTGATTCACAGCTCATCGAGTTGACCTGCACAGAGCCAGTTTCATTACTTCAGCTTCCCTGGAACACGCAGTTCATTCTTTCTGTGACTAGAAGCTAAAAATCAATATAGTTTCAGAAAAAAAAAATGTGTTCAGTCAGCTGCCACGTATCACTGTAGAGTGATAAATATTTTAGTAAAACATACTTACTTGATCTTGCTGAAGAATGGCCAGAAAAAAATTATTTAAGGCAGACTGCTGACCAAAAAGGCTGAAGGGTTTATCTCTAAAGATTAGAGGAGTACTTTCAAAATTAGTAGATTAATGAAATTAACGTTATCTCTAATGCTACTTCAGAATTTAAGAAGCAAGGATTACAGAATTTATATCCTTAACATCCTCACTCACAAACATTATGATATATCAGATAGGAAATCAATTTTGAGTTAAGCAATTCTTAAGTTACTTTCTGACTGCCCATTACTTCTCATCATTCTACCACTGTACTTCCTACATTACACCCACTGGGGTAACACGACTACAGGATTTTCATACAGGTATTTTTATAAACTCTGGAAATTATAAGGTACTGCCTTTAATAAAATCACAACTAATAATTCCCACTAAATAACAATTCCATATCAATTCTAGGCTCAGAGGCTAATGCTAATTATCTAGTGTTTACTGCAAATAAATTCAGAGAAAATACTGAGCTGCACAGGAGCTGTCACCATGTAGCTTACTAAATAAATCCTACACTGTGAATTAGAAAAATACACATCACAAGAAAGTTTTCCTTCAAATGAGTTTGTGTGAATACTCACTGCTACATCTCATACAAAATTACAGAAAACAAGACCTTCAAAGCTGGCTTTAAACATAAAACACTGAGTTCAGCTCATCAAGTTTAAAACTGCCAGATTATTTTCCTCTTTATTGAAACGCAGCAAAACAGAAAAAAAATGGTTTGTATTATTTATCTAATACTAGAATTTCTTCCAAAAATTGTTAATACTGTTTAAAATTGTTGCCTGCTGTTTGTAGAACATTAACAACCTGAATCAACATTTCATGTTCACTCACTGAATATTTTTATTATGTCTGAAACCTGTATATATTCATCCATATCTTTATTGTCTATCGTCCAAGATTTATTAAAAAACAACCTTATTCTATTAAAAAAAAAGTATAATTAACATAAAAGTTTGAATCTACAGATAAATGCGTGTTTTGCTACTTTCAAGAAAGAAACTGAGCAATATTAAAATTACATTTGGTTGTTCAATGTACTTCAATGTATCTATGTAATAATTAACTACTTCACTTCTATATATTAAACTTTCATTTTACTCTTTTTCCTATACCCGAGATGAAAAATATAAACAAAAAGTAATTTGTTTCAAATATCCAGAGGAAAGTGCATAAAATCACACTTCAACCACTACACTAACTATATCTGGATAGTTTTGAACTGTTAACATCAGTTGATGCATCTAATTCAGAACTAAAACTATTTTCAAGGACATTCCCTTTCCACTATTAAAAACAGATCAAATATTTTAGAACAAGGAAATTACTCTGGCCATATAAGGGAGTTAATTAAAAATATTCTTCAACCTGCTATAAAAAGAACAACTGCTGTGAGGACGCACTCATCAGCCATTGCAATGTCCCTGTAACACACTCCCAGAGAGAATAGAGGACTCATCATGTCGACAGGATGAAGTCCCATCCCCCAGAGGAGCCTCCTCTCCACCTCCCACCCTAGTGCTATTTGACTTTTAAACAGCTGGTTTCCAGTCTCTCTTCACCAAAACGCTGCAAGGAAAATGTCCAACATGCAGGTGAAATTTCTGCCTTGAGAACATGACATTCATCTTTACGTCGACTTCTGAGCCCCATGACAGCAAAATCTCAGTAACAGCCAATGTGAAAAATTCCATCTGCTACCTAAGTTTGGCAATTTTACATTTATTTTTTAAAAGATGTTGGTGCTCTGATTATTTGAAACAAATGAAAAAAAACCACCCAACTTTCTCTCAAGAATTTATTCTTACAGTAGAGCTGTAATTGTAAATTACAGCTAATTATAAAGCTAGCTCTGGTGTGATATGACTTCAAGGGATGTTCTTCTATACTTGAATCAACATAGAGAGATGCACAGCACGATACAGTGAAAAGCGTGCAGAAATAATTTGAATATAAGCTTTTTGTGAAAACGAGAAATGACAATGCATGTCAAGCTACTAGTAAGAAGTAGGAAAAAAAACCCAACCACCTAGTCAAACAGGCTTACCACTAAGCTTCTTCAACAAAATATTCTTTTCTGAACCATTAGCAATTAAAACAAATCCCCAGGGAAGATATTATCTTTGGGATGGTGCCTTTTAAAGACTTCTAATCCATTAAAAGGAAGTTTTCCATTACATCAAGTTCTCCGGTTGCATTCTTTTTCATGAGTTCCACCGCCTGCAGTGTTTCCATACTGTCTCTTCTTTCTCCCACCTTTGTTGTTTTCACATAGTAACTTTGTTGTACTTGCTCATTTCTGTTCTCTTCAACACCGCCTCCTCCTTTCCTACCCTGAGATAGTACCAGCACTCTCTATTTTTAATACAGCACTAAGAATATCTAAAATTAATCCAGTTCCAGTGACAGAAGCTCTACGGCTTATTATGAAGTTTGCTTCTTCGTTCTTGTCCTTCCTTATCTTCCTATTAAGCTGGCCACAACAAGGTCATTTACTTCTCATCACTAAAACAATACAAAAAAGAAATTTTGTCACTTCGGCTTTAAAAGACACTTGGAAAGACACATCTACATGAATCACCTTGACCTCTCTCCATCACAGCTGGCATGGATAACCTGTTCACGGTAAAAAAAACTGAGTTAAGTCCAACTTTCATTCCTACTTTCCACATTGGGTTCACAGTCAGGAAATGACTTCCAGGTGATAAACCCAGAGGAGGCAAAAAAACGAGGTTTTGTTTCATGATACTCCTATTTCTAAACGAATATTGATTTCATAGCAAAGTGTTTCATAAATCAGTGCAAAACGGGGACATCAGTAAACCACTGATCTGTTATCGACGACTGGCTCCCCCGGGAGGGAAAAGGAGGCTCATAGCACTCTGAGTAATCTCTGAAACTCAAGAACTGGTACTATTCCTCCATCCAGACAAGTAGCAGAGCATGGAGCAGACTCATAACAATGACAAAATATGTGCTGTACTTAAAGGCCTCATTCAGTAACACACTGAGCCAGCGGGACACCCTTTACCTACTACTTCATTTAGAATCAAAAAGTAAAGGATTGACACCATCATAGCAGCCTCCCTCTACTCTCACTATTTAACACAAATACTTTCATCTGTTTCTCCCTGTCCAAATGCCTGGCTCCTCCCAAGATCAGTGGATACAGGAAAAGAGAGTCTCCCCAGCACAGTAATGATCCTCACGCAGAATTAAGCTCCCAGTACCAGACAGACTATCCTGTTCAAAGCCTGGCTTCACCATGGCCCGGACCTATTCACTAACCCAGATGAGCAATTTTGAAAATACTGCATCCTTGAACACTCCTAAACTGGATTTTCCACACTCCCTTTCCCATCGCATTTCCTCATATATTACTGGACACTGGTCTCATTCCCGGTAAGGAAGTAACTTATTTTGTTGTTTGAATACTTTGTGCTTACTTCTATTTTGCTACAGGAATTCATGTGAATTGAGCCCTTTACAGCACTATCCCTTGTATATGCGTGTATTCCAAGGATGAGAGGGGAGGGGAAGAAGAGGGCAGCACCAGGACGCCAGGAGAAGAACATGGGTCTGGATACAACCCTAGGCAGAGCGTTAGGACACAGTATGTTGACATTAGGTAGAGGCTAAAGCAAAGTCAACCATCTAACAGTAATACTGCAAATTGTACAAGCTCCCACTGCAAAAGCGGTAAAGTCACAACTAACTGTACATTTGAAGTCTCAGGCTTACGGCAGCAGCGCATATGGATTACTTAGCATCTGTTAGAACACAAATGGTCACTGAAACACCATGAAGAGTTCTGCCTTTCAGCAGATGTTTTGATTCCAAGGTCAGAGTCACAAAACAAACTGGAATGACTCCTGACATGTGGCAAAGTCGCCAAAATGTCTAAAGATCTACCTTGCTGGTCAACTGAAACCTGTATTAGATAGTAGCCTCTTGTGTTCTGAAGCTGTGGCTTCAAACAAATGGAACGGTGTCAAACACTCCCTGCTTTTGGAAGGCCATGAGGGTTTTGTCAACACTACACATTTGCAGTAAATGAAGAGAGCTTGAAGGATGGCACTGGCAAACTTTGATCACCACCTGCCCTACAGAAGACAAGCTCACTTCAAACCAACGAGAAACTGGTCAGCAAGTGCCCAGGGTTGCAAGTCTTCTCAGGGTGACAAACACCTGAAACTCTGTGCATTGAAAAATCTGAATGTAGAGAAGTATGAAGTTTCTTGCTACTTTCTCCATTTTCTTAAGATGATGGGCTTGTTTTCTTGACCCAATCTGTGGGGGAGGAACACAGCTGCAGTGGTAAAACCTCCCAGAGTCTTATGCTGCTGCCCGTTTTTTTTCTCAGAGAAAAGGACGCTCAGAACAGTTGTGTCACTTCTTTGTCAGACGTATCCTATGACTGCAGTACCTCTGCTGGGAGGATTAAACTCTCCACTCCTCCCCAGTGGTGCCTGGCAGCACACATTGCCCCAGTGCCCAGCACTGAAACAGATCAGGGAGTAGCACAGTACCGCATTGTC